AAGTTGCCCAGGCTATTCTCAAACCCATGGGCTCAGGCAATCCTTTCACTTCCACCTCCCAAAATGCTGGGATTACAGGCATGAGCCACTGAGCCCAGCTATATCATTCCTTTTTATTGTCAAATAAGACTCCATCGATATACCACATTTTGTTTATTGCTTCTTTTTTTTTCTGAGTTGAAGTCTTACTCTGTCGCCCAGGCTGGAGTGCAGTGGCATACTCATGGCTACCACAGCCTCGACCTGCTGGGCTCAGGTGATCTTTCCACGTCAGCCTTCCAAATAGATGGGACTACAAGCACGCACCACCATGCCTAGTTAATTTTCTGATTCATTGTAGAGACGATGCCTCACCAAGTTGCCCAGGCTGGTCTTGAACTCACGGACTCAGGTAATCCTCTTGCCTCCGTCTTCCAAAGTGCTGGGATTATAGGCATGAGCCATGGCACTCAGCCTCTTGCTTCTATTTTTAAGCATAGATAATTTAGTCTTTCTAAACTGACATTTGGACCCTTTTATCTTTTTAGGAATTATAAGAATAGACGGTATTAAGAATAAAGGCCAACTATTAGTCTGCAGAAATTTTGCCCAACCACCAAAAGGCTTCTGTGTTTCCGTCCTTCAAAGCTGCTGCTGCTTCTGCCCAGTAAATTCCTGTTTTCAGTCTGAGAGATGTTTCTAGTGTTAATCTTATTTCACAGGGCAGGAGCTCTAGACCACAGAGCTCATACTATGTCTTCCTTCCTCCCACAGAATGGTTTTCTAGGCTGTGTGCCATACTATAATATTGGAATGATGTTACAGATTCTGCACACACGTTTTTGGTAAATATACAGAACACCTCTGAAAGGGCATACAAGAAACTAGTAAAAATGGTTGACTTCAGAAAAGGGAGCTGGGCCCGAGGATGAAGGCTTACTTTTAACCCTCTGTTCTTTTGAAAATTATTTAAAAATAAAAATAACCAGTTGTGGTGGCTCATGCCTATAATCTCAGCACTTTGGGAGGCAGAGGTGAGAGAACTGCCTGAGAACAGTGGTTTGAAACCAACCCGGGCAACTTGGCAAAACCTAATATCTACAATAAATAAAAAAAATTAGCCAAGTGTGGTGGCGTACGCCTGTGGCTTAGCTACTTGGAAGGCTGAGGTGGGAGGATCGCCTGAGCCCAGCAGGTCGAGGCTGCGGTGGCCATGAGCAGCCTGGGTGACAGAGTGAGACTCTGACTCTAAATAAATAAATAAATAAATAAATAAATAAAAAGACCAGCCTGGACAACTTGGCCAGACCTCGTCTCTACAGTACATAAAAAAGAACAAATAGCTGGATATGGTGGTGCTCGCCTATAGTCCCAGCTACTTGGAAGGCTGAGGCGGGAGGATCGCCTGAGCCCAGCAGGTCGAGTCTGCAGTGGCCGTGCATGTGCCACTGCACTCCAGCCTGGGCGACAGAGACTCCAACTCAAAAATAAAAATTGGAATTAAAATTAATTGACAAGTACCAAACAATAATAACTTTGGATAGACGTATGAGGCTTGTTTATTTGAATGAGACACTTGAGTTATGACACTGGCCTTGCAATACACACATATTTTCACTCCTCAAGCCTTCATTCCTGCTGTTCCCTCAGTTTGAACTCTCTCCTCTTCATCCTTTCCTAACTACCTCTTAAAGTAGGCAATTTATGTAATTTTTCAGTGTATAAAGCATTTTTAGATACATAATCTAATTTTTTCTTTTTCTTTTTTTTTCTTTGAATCGGAGTCTCACTCTGTCTCCCAGGCTAGAATGCAGTGGCACATTCATGGCTACTGCATCCTCGACCTGCAGAGCTCAGGTGATCCTTCCTCCTCAGCCTTCCAAGCAGCTGGAACTACAGGCATGCACCACATGCCTGGCTTATTTTTTGATTTATTGTAGAGACAAGGTCTAGCCAAGTTGCCCAGGCTGGTCTCGAACCCCTGGACTCAGGCAATCCTCTCACCTCCACCTCCCAAAGTGCTGGGATTACAGGCTTGACCCATCACGCCCAGCCCAAAATGTTTTTAACCTGGAGTCCCAGCTACTCAGGAAGCAGAGGTGGAAGGACTGCTTGAGCCCAGGAATCTGAGGTTGCAGTGAGTTGTGATCTTATGATTGTACCACTGTACTCCAGTTTGGGTGACAGGGCAAGATCCAGTCTCCAAATAAAATAGAACAATAAAAGGCATAATAATAAGAAGGTATATATTAATACTAACAATAGATTAAATGTACATCAAATGCTTCTATGTGCAGAATGCTGAGCTAAATCTGTTTTACATGCATTATCCCATTTAATCTTCACAATAACTAATTTGCCCAAAGGCTTGCTGCTGATAATGCAACAGAACCGGACAGTTTTTAGACTCCAAAGGTAATGATCTTCACCACAAGATCATTCTGTCTTTAAGTACAAAGATCAATCATAACCAGAAACATCCATGAGGTACTTTCATAAAAATTCTGTTTGGGCCAAGAGTAGTGGCTCATGCCTATAATCTTAACACATTATCAACCCTTATTAGGACCCAAGGATATTCTTGGTTATTTTTCCCATGATGACCACTAGCTATATGATTTATTTCAACACTAGCAGAAACTAATTGAGCACCCTTTGATCTTACAGAAGGTGAATCGAATTAGTGTCAGGCTTTAACGTCAAAGATGCTACAGGACACTTTGCCTTATTTTTCATAGCTGAATATACTAATATCATTAGAATAAACACCCTACTCACCATCATCTTTTTAGGAGCATTATATAATATTTTCTTTTCTTTCTTTTTTTTTTTTTGAGTTGGAGTCTCACTCTGTCGCCCAGACTGGAGTGCAGTGGCTGCTCCCAGTCACCACAGCCTCGACTTGCTGGGCTCCGGCGATCCTTCTGCCTCAGCCTTCCAAGTAGCTGGAAGTACAGGCGTGTGCTACCACACCCAGCTAATTTTTTGATTTACTGTAGAGATGAGGGCTCGCCAAGTTGCCCAGGTGAGTCTCGAACCTGCGGGCTCAGGCAATCCACTCACCTCAGCCTCCCAAATGTGTGGGATTACAGGCTGAGCCACTGATCCCGGCTTTTTTCTTTCTTTTAAGAAAGTAGAATTTATTGAGAGGACAGAAAAGCTACCACAATGGGAGGGGACCCAAAGGAGTTGCCCTACATAATATTTTCATACCAGAAATCTTTACAATCAACCTTGTAGTGAAAACTCTTATTCTCACCACCCTATTTCTTTTCCTTTTTTTTTCAGAGTGTCACTCTGTCTCCCAGGCTGGAGTGCAGTGCCACATTCACATGGCACCGCAGCCTCTACCTATTGGGCTTAGGCGATCCTTCCATCTCAGCCTTCCAAGTAGCTGAAACTACAGGCATGCACCACCACACCCGGCTAACTTTTTGATTTATTGTAGAGATGAGGTCTCACCAACTTGCCCAGGTCTATCTCGAACCAAAGTGCTGGATTACAGGTGTGAGCCTCCGCGCCTGGCTACTCGTGGGCTCTTTGACTAGCCCCTGAAGTGATTTCCAGAGCAGCCAGCGAAGTCTTAAAACAGTTTATTAGCAAGAAGAGTGGGGAAGAGGGAGATTCATGCCAGAAAGACCTGACACAGGCAAGTCTCTCAACACAGAAAGACCGTGCTTTTGCTTTTAACTAAAAACTAGGTATATTTTCACAGTAACTGATATGTTATGTAAGGGATGGAGCCCAGGTAACCCTGCAGAGAGACTGCCATCTTTCTGCCTTGGATGGGAGGAGGAGTGATCTTTTCTGGAACACACATTTTTGCCTCATAGGAGACCTGTCAGACTTTGGAATATGCAAGATCATGAACTAGGAAGTGGTTTCATGAACATGACTACGGCTTTGATGGGTGAAGGGGTGGGGTTGAGTCTTCCACCTTCAACGGGAACCTGAGGATTTTATTTTGTTTTATTTTATTTTTTATTTTTTTGAGTTGGAGTCTCACTCTGTCACCCAGACTGGAGTGCAGTGGCCGCTCC